CTACGCAAAAAAGCAGTTATAGGTGTCGCGTAAGGCAGCGATTCCCAAACTATTGGTCGCGAGTAGCATCAAGGTGGGAGGTGTATATTTACCCAGCATAGGAAATCAGTGTATATCTGTATCCGCTCAGGATAAAAAATGACCTGCAGAAAAGGATGACAATTTTTCGTTAACTCAGAATTACTTTCAAAATACCTCGTTCTGGCTTACAGTGGGTCGCGAATTTGTTGTACGTCAGGAAGTGGGTCACGATTTAAAGAAGTCCGGGAACCGCTGGCGTAAGGCAAGAGGCAGAAAAAAAAAGTCGTCCCATGTTAAGTCTATGGCAGAATTAGTTGCTTCACGAGGTGGAATTTCACGACTACACCAGTTATTGTATTTCAAGTTTCTTAATCACAAATTAATCTGGACGGATTGGGCTGTGTTTTGTTTGGGATTTTATTTATTTATTAAATGCTCTATTCTAGGAATAGGAGTGAATAATTGTTTTCGCTCCAATTCCAATTTTATGAATTTTAAAGTTAATTTTGCTTCATAAAGGAGTTATTGAAAATATGACACAAACAAAATACAGTAAAGTCTTTCAGTTACTTCCCTCCAAAGATCGTCTTCATACAATCAGGCAAGTGGCTGTGAAACTCCGCACAAAATTTCCAAAACTCTCTTTCGTGGCCCTGTAGCGTTGCCTTGAGGAGTAACTGCTCGGCACGTTTTACAAAGAGAATTTTATTTAAAGGATATACTTCCCTTTCATCTAATGATCTCGGATGAGCTGAGACTATAACGGTGGTTATTAGTTGCTGATCCATTTGGTGGGATACGGAGATATCTCATCAGGACATCCTAAATTACCATGATTGTGGCCAGCTTGTATGTCATGCCCACGAAAGGCATTTTCTTCTCGGAACGAGTCGGGACGGTTCTAAGAACTCTGGATGGGCCGTCGGTTAGGCCTAGCCCAAACGTAAAGGAGTTCCGTACAGGGTAGGTGGGGAGAGGGGAGGATGAAGTTAAGTTTGGGGTTAGGGTTGATGGTTGTGGAAAGGTTGAACTATTGCAAATTGGTTTAAGCATTGCTACATTTAATTATATTTGATGGTCCTAAATTACAAATAAAGAAACTGTCAATTGATCGTTCCCATGAGCTTTCATGGAACGCTGGCAAAACCATAAATGAATCGTTCATTGGACACGTTCGGGTGGTACTTGGGTAGTGGTCTCTGAAAATCATGGTGACTCCTTCCACGATCACAGAACACTTATTTTCCTCCGATTTGCAGCAGGTTTACCTGTCAATAGTCTAAACAATTCAAGCGGATCAGGAGTTGATGGGAAAATAACCGGCGGGATATCCAATGAATCAATGATTTTGGCCATCTCTGCTGCAGCGATTTCGGTCGTGGCTCTGACAGTGGGCTCTATTTCCTGCTATCGTTTCAGAAAGGAGAAAGTGAGTCGCGCACAATTCGACAATCGCCTCTTTCTTCAATTGTATCCAATTATATCATTTTCGTGAACTTTCCAGGCCAGAAAAATCGAATTATCCGAGGAAGAGACAGAGCGATTCTTCAGAGGACAACCGGAGAGCTTGAATCCAACGATGGGACTCGGTCAACAAGCACATCTACTACCATTCGAAAAGAACTGGGACTTTCCATCTGAGAAGCTGAAACTCGGTAAGGTCCCAGACCCCCAATCTGACGAATCTGTTTAGAAGGTGGATTCTATCGCAATAGGAGAAGTCCTCGGCAGTGGGCAATTCGGTTACGTGCTGAAGGCTGTGGCTGGTGGGATCTGTCCTCCGGAGCCCGAAACGACAGTAGCCGTGAAGAGAAGAAAGCCCCACTCCACTCTGGAAAATTACCAGACGCATTTGATGGAGGTGAAGATCATGAGTCACCTCGGAATGCATTTGAATATCGTCAATTTCCTTGGAGCATGTACCAAAGGTTTGGCACATGGTGAGTACCTTCGTCATATCTTGTAGGATTGGTCAATGGCATGGAATTTTGATAGAGGATTATATTATGAGGCAGCCGCATGAACCCATCAACTTTATCAAGCCTTCTTTTGTTCAAATATTTAAATCGATGCAGTCTGATGTAGTTTTTCAGTACTTTTCATCAGACACTTTACTTTCTTGAAAGAAGGTAAAATGTAAGATGCATATGAACATCACAACTCGCCAAGGCCACCCGTTTTCCTTGTCTCCCTATCCTCTCAGAGAGAAATAGAGGCTGGTAAATTAATTTTATTGTTCAGGTCTCCTCACGCAACTGAGTGGCTCATTTGAGACAGCACTAATATTCTAAATTGAACATTTTTCATATTTAAATCATGGTGGCAGAAACCCTTTTTTTGCATGCAATGAAACCATAACAACTGAACATACATACCAACCGTATACTCCAGTTGGCCCAGATAGTAGTCGCAGTAATTATAGATACGAGGAGTGATTGGAAAATTTTTACAACCAGTGTCCAAAGTGTTTGTATTTACTGCAACCAAACGATAAAGGCGCTGCATAGAGGGGTCTACTTTTCCGCATCCTATTGGACGGTGAGGCGTTTGTCCGGACAGTGAGGCGTGAGAATCTTATACCGAGGTATACGATTTTCAATGGCGGCAGCGTATAATTCCATGTCTTGTGCAGACAATCGTTTTTGCACTTCTTTCACCACCTCAGCAACCGACCGAAAATGACGGCCACTGAGATACTTTTTCATGAAGGGAAACATGAAAATCGCTTGTTTGAAGATCAGAGCTGTAGAGTGGGCGTTGAAGGAACCCCCTCCTCACCCCATATTCTGCAGCAGCCGCGCCACGTGGGGACGAGCGTTACCATGGAACAGAAATCCCAGTTGTGGTAGACATCCTGACCGTCTTCGCCGGATTGCTTCATGCTGGTGCTGCAGAGTTGCATAATACCAATCATCCTAGTCTTTTGGAATTAGTCAGTCAATACGAATTGCGTTGTCTTTTGTAGACGAATCGCAACGCTTGCCATTGCTCTCCTTGTTATTGTCGACTGTCGACAATCGTTCATCCATCGTGCGGCTACCAGATTTCCGATTGGCATACCATCCTCATACATCTGCAACAGCAGGCGATGAATTTCCGCAGCGGAGGTGTCCTTGGCCCAGAAGAGAAATGGATGGTACCTCGAATTTCAACGCGAGATCAATTTTCAAAGCGCATCGCCATTTCACGACTGCACTGCTCACCTGATATGAGCGGTACAAGTGACGTCTCGCGCATTTTTGCCAATTGCGACACCCCAAATATCGCTAATCGCACACCTACGCTACGTACCTCGTGATTCTTCTGTAATAGGCCTTGTAAACTTTTTTTTCCTATCAATCATGGTAGTTATCCTTTGCCTNGATTGTGGCCAGCTTGTATGTCATGCCCACGAAAGGCATTTTCTTCTCGGAACGAGTCGGGACGGTTCTAAGAACTCTGGATGGGCCGTCGGTTAGGCCTAGCCCAAACGTAAAGGAGTTCCGTACAAAAGGGGAGAAGGTAGGGGAGGGAAGCATGAATTTAAATTTGGGGTTAGGGTTGATGGTTGCAGAAAGGTTGAACCATTGCAAATTGGTTTCGACATTGCAACATTTAATTATCGTTGATGGTCCTAAATTACAGATGAATAAACTGTCAATAGATCGTTCCCATGAGCTTTCATGGAACGCTGGTAAAACCATTAATGAATCGTTCATTGAACACGTTCGGGTGGTACCTGGGTTGTAGTCTCTGAAGATCATGGTGACTCCTTCAACGACCAAAGAACACTTATTTTCCTCTGGTTTGCAGCAGGTTTACCTGTCACTAGTCTAAACAATTCAAGCGGATCAGGAGTTGATGGGAAAATAACCGCCGAGATATCCAATGAATTACTTATATTGGCCATCTCTGCTGCAACGATTTCGGTCGTAGCTCTGACAGTGGGCTCTATTTCCTACTATCGTTTCAGAAAGGAGAAAGTGAGTCAATCATCATGATTCGACAATCGCCTCTTTCTCCAATCGTATCCAATTATTTTTCGTGAACTTTGCAGGCCAGAAACATCGCTAATAGGCTCCTTCTCTGTCTCGCTAAGAAGTCTCCTGTTGGCCTCTCGAACTTAGGTTGCTACCCTGAGCCAGTTGTTCGTGTAGATGATGGTAAGCTTTTCTTGACCCTGAAAGGTAGACTCTTCCTGAAACTCGGTAAGGTCCCAGACCCCCAATCTGACGAATCTGTTTAGAAGGTGGATTCTATCGCAATAGGAGAAGTCCTCGGCAGTGGGCAATTCGGTTACGTGCTGAAGGCTGTGGCTGGTGGGATCTGTCCTCCGGAGCCCGAAACGACAGTAGCCGTGAAGAGAAGAAAGCCCCACTCCACTCTGGAAAATTACCAGACGCATTTGATGGAGGTGAAGATCATGAGTCACCTCGGAATGCATTTGAATATCGTCAATTTCCTTGGAGCATGTACCAAAGGTTTGGCACATGGTGAGTACCTTCGTCATATCTTGTAGGATTGGTCAATGGCATGGAATTTTGATAGAGGATTATATTATGAGGCAGCCGCATGAACCCATCAACTTTATCAAGCCTTCTTTTGTTCAAATATTTAAATCGATGCAGTCTGATGTAGTTTTTCAGTACTTTTCATCAGACACTTTACTTTCTTGAAAGAAGGTAAAATGTAAGATGCATATGAACATCACAACTCGCCAAGGCCACCCGTTTTCCTTGTCTCCCTATCCTCTCAGAGAGAAATAGAGGCTGGTAAATTAATTTTATTGTTCAGGTCTCCTCACGCAACTGAGTGGCTCATTTGAGACAGCACTAATATTCTAAATTGAACATTTTTCATATTTAAATCATGGTGGCAGAAACCCTTTTTTTGCATGCAATGAAACCATAACAACTGAACATACATACCAACCGTATACTCCAGTTGGCCCAGATAGTAGTCGCAGTAATTATAGATACGAGGAGTGATTGGAAAATTTTTACAACCAGTGTCCAAAGTGTTTGTATTTACTGCAACCAAACGATAAAGGCGCTGCATAGAGGGGTCTACTTTTCCGCATCCTATTGGACGGTGAGGCGTTTGTCCGGACAGTGAGGCGTGAGAATCTTATACCGAGGTATACGATTTTCAATGGCGGCAGCGTATAATTCCATGTCTTGTGCAGACAATCGTTTTTGCACTTCTTTCACCACCTCAGCAACCGACCGAAAATGACGGCCACTGAGATACTTTTTCATGAAGGGAAACATGAAAATCGCTTGTTTGAAGATCAGAGCTGTAGAGTGGGCGTTGAAGGAACCCCCTCCTCACCCCATATTCTGCAGCAGCCGCGCCACGTGGGGACGAGCGTTACCATGGAACAGAAATCCCAGTTGTGGTAGACATCCTGACCGTCTTCGCCGGATTGCTTCATGCTGGTGCTGCAGAGTTGCATAATACCAATCATCCTAGTCTTTTGGAATTAGTCAGTCAATACGAATTGCGTTGTCTTTTGTAGACGAATCGCAACGCTTGCCATTGCTCTCCTTGTTATTGTCGACTGTCGACAATCGTTCATCCATCGTGCGGCTACCAGATTTCCGATTGGCATACCACCCTCATACATCTGCAACAGCAGGCGATGAATTTCCGCAGCGGAGGTGTCCTTGGCCCAGAAGAGAAATGGATGGTACCTCGAATTTCAACGCGAGATCAATTTTCAAAGCGCATCGCCATTTCACGACTGCACTGCTCACCTGATATGAGCGGTACAAGTGACGTCTCGCGCATTTTTGCCAATTGCGACACCCCAAATATCGCTAATCGCACACCTACGCTACGTACCTCGTGATTCTTCTGTAATAGGCCTTGTAAACTTTTTTTTTCCTATCAATCATGGTAGTTATCCTTTGCCTGTAAAAGGAGTGACTCATTTCATATTCCTCCCACAGAAAAGACACAACAAGAGCATGGGCAAGCATATGCGACGTCGTTGCCCGTTACACGGTTTTGTGAAAGCGAAGGCTAAGATGATAAGTTCATAGCACCATAGCCCTCGCAAGAAAAAGGAAGCAGTCATACATTATATTCTGTTTTCCAAACCTAGAGGCAAAAAGTAACAATTGAGAATTTGGAATTTCAAAACATGAACCATGGCAACCTGGAATATTTTTTAGTGCAGAAGCCAATAGACTTGAAAGAAAAACATCAGTTTTTTTTTAACATGCCACTTAGCAATCCTTCATTTAGCTGAATGGAGTTATGTGAATAACGGTTATGTGAACAATGAGTGTTTTCCTAAACAAATCCGTCGTAGGCCCTTTGTATCCATATACATTAATGCAAAATTCATTATGCGGAAGCGCATAGAATACTGATCAGGATGACATAGCACGTAATGAAATATGTGTGAATAATGATAAGAAAATCAGTTTACAAAACTGTCCATATTTTATTGGTTGCTTTTTTGTTATATGAATAATGCGATTCCATTTAGGGTCTATGAGGTTCGATTTGGGGAGATAATGAGAAAAAAGTACTGGACAGCATGCGAAGAGAACCCTTCTATAAAGGGAAGGGAAAACATGGATGCCTTCGTTGAGCGACATTGTGCCATGAGTAGTTTCATCGACTTTTTTGGCTATCGAAGTTATGAGAATAACAAAGAAATTGCCCGGGTACATAGAACACCCAAATACAGGTTGCAACAGAATTGACGCAAAATGTTGGGATAGCTTTTGGCCTTCAAGACTAGGCCATAGGTTGAAGAGAAGGAACAGCTTAGCCTATGGCCTAGTCTTGAAGGCTAATCGCCATCCCTACGTTTTGCGACCACTTCTTTACACCCTATATACGTAGACTTTTCAAAAGGTTCACGGAATGGTCTTCCTGTGAGTGAACGGCTGGGGCATAGTAAGTGCCGGTGTGTATATTGCATTGTCATGTTCTTGCGGAGAATGCCTCACGAGCATAATGAGATATGGCGTCTGTGTTGTGAACCAGCGGCTCCTGAAACGACCNGGGATAGCTTTTGGCCTTCAAGACTAGGCCATAGGTTGAAGAGAAGGAACAGCTTAGCCTATGGCCTAGTCTTGAAGGCTAATCGCCATCCCTACGTTTTGCGACCACTTCTTTACACCCTATATACTGTACGTAGACTTTTCAAAAGGTTCACGGAATGGTCTTCCTGTGAGTGAACGGCCGGGGCATGGTAAGTGCCGGTGTGTATATTGCATTGTCATGTTCTTGCGGAGAATGCCTCACGAGCATAATGAGATATGGCGTCTGTGTTGTGAACCAGCGGCTCCTGAAACGACCTCACTGCACAGAGCTTTATCAGTCGTTGGAGTGAGGTTGAGCATGTCGCAGTTCGAGCATCGTGCTGCGATCTAGTGTTACCCAAAGGCGGGAAAATCCGCCACAGAGGCACCGCAGATATTAACAGCGGTGTATGGAGAGGACGTGCCTGGTTGAGTTCATATAGAATTTCCTTAGAAGGACCTGAAGCTCACATTTCGAATGAAACTAATACCGTAATTGTTATGAAGAAATTAAAAAATACATGACTAAAGATGACAAAAGATGAGGAAGTTCCAAATTTGAGGTGAGTTTTTCTCTTTGTAGCCGACAAAAAGGCTAAAATATTCAATAGTAATGCTTTATTAATTAATAATCTTGCTTTATCGATGCGCATGAAAGAGGAGTGTAACTTAGCGTAACAAGAGATTTGCCTTTTCTCTCGCCACATAAGGATATATAGGGGTCAACATATCGTATATTTCTCATTTTCAAATTCTATTATGATGGGGAAATTTCATTCGAACTCCAATGAAGTATGAGGCATATTTTTCTTCCATTAAACCCAAAGAGCATGTTTATGTAAACAAGATATCAGTTTTTTGCAAACAATGTCAATATCATTCAATTGTTATACAAACAATATCACGTTCATATAAAATGTACATTCCTCTCTTCATATCATCCATGGAATGTGTATTTTAAATGAACTAGGATGACTTCCTCTGATAGCATATGACATGAAGTTTATGCAAAACCAACACCACAACATCAATATGAAACTTTAGCTGACTCTAGACTGCCTATAATACCAAGAGACCTCACTAGAGGGAACCCGTGTTCCCTGCACGAAAAAAATGCTATTAAGTGCCTGCTTTTCTGGTATCGTATGAGGTCTTCCTCTACCATTATTATTTTCATTGAGAAACGTATTAACATATATTAGGAAAACATGGAAGCATATTATTTTTACAATCGATGACTCGGGGAATTATTAAATGTTGAATCATGAAAATACCGAAGTGTACGGGAATAAGAAAGGTTGAAATGAAGAACTTCCAACATTCATACATTAATATTCTATGCAGAGAAACATATTACATTTAAGGGTTCTGAGGTGGGTGCGAAGGAGTGGAGTAGTAGGCACTATTGTGTATTTGTAAGGAAGGGCATTGTGAACTACTCCGAATATTCAAGCTTTTTCTTAAAAGCTGGTGGTTTACTAGTGCTAAAAACTAACATTAATTTTAACAAAGTTAGCATACATTTAACATAAAATATATATAAACATGCTGCTTGGGATGCAAAAGGAAATGTCAATCTCATGTAAAATTCTACTCAATTTTGCATCACCGTTTGCGTATCACAGAGGCGAGATTTCTGCAAACATGTTGACTATATTGATGAAGGTTTGCGTAAAATGGACTTAACAGAAAAAATCCATCAAATTTATATATTATTGACGTAAACAAGCTGCTTGTGAATAGATCCAGTTCAACCTCAGCAGCATGTTCATGTAAAATTAATGTTATAATTGTGTCCATATTATACATTTCTTAAGCAAACCATTATCAGGATATTCTCAACATGTTTGCAAAAATGTCACCTCTCTGAAACGCAAACGATGATATAAAATCGACTTAAATTTTGCGTGAAATTTACATCCCAAACATCATGTTTACATTAGTTTTACATAATATTGATGTTAATTTCACCCAAACATTCATGGAATTTTCATGTGCAAATAACTACTTTTAAAGGGAATTAATATCACTGTACTTCTCCCATTTCTTTCCACACCTTGGAACTTCTGGGGTCCACCGACAAGACCGGAAGTGCTCATCCTCTCACTAGTCAGTACTAGTGAGAGGATGAGCACTTCTGTACCAAGAGTACCAAGAATACCTTCTGCTCCCTCCATCAGCACCCAACGCTGAACCCTGGGAGTAGGAGCAGATATTTAGAGGGACTTTAATATAATAATAAAATATAATAATTCCATGATACCCACACATATATATTTATGAATTACAAAATGAAAAGTGGAAGGATGGTAGGAAAACCTGATGCTATAGCAGGAAAGCAGGTACTTCATAGCATATATAGGGTGCAGGGAACATGGGTTCCATCTAGTGAAGACTCTTGTTTCTGCAACTGCGGAAGAGTCAGCTAAAGTTTCTTATGGATGGTGTGGGGTTGATTTTGCATGTACTTCACTTGATATCATGTACTTCACATCAGATGAAGTAATGTCTAATTTACGTATATTGCACATATACATTCGTGACGTAAATATAGGAATGTAAATTTTATGTAAATTTCATGACATTCCACAATAGGCCAGAATGGCGAAAACATGCTCAAAAATCAAATATCAGCGATGTTATTTTATAGTGAATGGAAGAAATTGGATATTGCTTTCAGAACATGTTCATACGATTTGTGGGCTATTTCACGCAAATGTTAACCTTTACACACGAAATGTTTCCATATTCCTTGTCGTACCTTAGAAGGCAAAGTGTCCGGAGATACGGTGTGGGTAGGAAAAATAAATACAGAGTATTAGTAGACGACTAAATCTTAAATTCAGTCTTGACTGGCCATTACCGGAGCTGCAGTAAAAAAGCCCAACACACCGGAACTGACTTTCCCTTGTACGAACCTTCTGCCGGATTTTCGTCTGACATTTAAGTGAAATGCGAAGCATTTTAGAAAACAGCCATAACTATGGAACTACACACGTCAGAGGAACAAAATTGTCGGGGGAATTCTTTGTTTTAACATTTCGTTCAAAAGTGCTTGGTATGCCATTTACAAGGACAATTAATTCGAGATTGGCACTGGATGGCTTGGATATGAATGACTGCAGCAGAAGTGCCAAAATTCCACTAGTTGCAACGATTTGACCGACTTCAGTGACCAAACTCTGCACGTCCCCTTCCATTAATCCCGGAATGTATACATCAATGAAAAATACTTGTTATTCCCTTTTTCTATTAATACGAAATTCAAGGCTAGCATTTGATTGCTTCATGAGCTAAGACCATTTGACTACACCTACAGTGCACCGTTAGCTGCAACTGGGAATAAAATTTGTAAAATTTCCAGGAATTGATCGATCAAATGCTACTTCTTACTTCAGCTTCGGAGAATACTGCTTAAAAACAATTTAAAGACTAGAACATGACAACGACCATAAAGAAGTATACTGACATTTTCTCTACTAGACCGCCATCTAGTGACGAGAATTAGTATCACAGGAATAAGTTATTACCTCTTCAATCGTGTTCCATCAATAACGGTCACGATGTCTGCCTTTTATTTCAAGGGATGAAAATTATTTTTTCGCGTCGCTGACCCACTAGGCATTCGCAGAATTGATATTGTTTTCAAAAATTAAAATCATGTTCATGTAATCATGCTGCTTGGGAATCTATTCCACGTCTCCGTGCGATGGACGGTTCCTGTGTTGGGGGCAATGCTACTCTTTACTTCAGCATATATTCTAGATGAAAAATGATTGCTCCAGAAATTAAATGAATTTCTTTTCAGGTCATGCCGCGATAAAACGTCACAATATATCATTCTCCTAATTGTTATCTAAGATATGTCGATTCAAAACAAAATGAATGAATATTCATTTTGTTAGGGGATCTGATGATGATCATGGAATACTGCCCATTGGGGAGCCTGGAGAAGTACCTCAGGGCAAATGAACCGTACTTCGTCGATCTGATGGACCGTCACACCAAAACGCTCGATGACAGCACCGGGAGACAGGGGCATTGCACCGATGATTCTGCAAACGAAGATACTGCACTCAAAGCTCAGAGGAATGGAACACAAGGGTGAGCCTTTCTTTCATGGTTTAAATTCTTCGTTTCACCAAGACCTTCCTAGTCAACACTTCCTTCTCGTCTAAGCAGCGAATGGGTTGTGAAATATGTCGCGGCTGCATCTCCGGCGACTGGCTCCGGAGGAACCGACGCTATACTCCAGAAGGATTCTGTTGCCTCTGACTCCGGGATTCTTCCATCTTCAAGTGGTATGATCAAATTCTTCAACTAGGCATTATTCCTTGACGCTACCTCTTTTGTTTCATGTATCTGCCAGAAAATCCTGCCATAGTACAATTAATAACATCCTGCACTATAAATCGTAGACTTTTAACCAGCCGAGTTTCTGGATCGGTGAAATCACTCGAAAACCGCAGCAGTATCTCCATCTGCAATTGTTCTTTTCAGCAGCAAGTGCTTAAATAGCAGCACTTCCCATAAATAATTTTAATTTCAGGAAGTGAGAATGATTCAAAACATCCAGCGCTAAAGGGGAACAACTACCATCAATCCTTAGAAGGATGCGTTCGCTCAAGACAATTCACTACTGGCAATCTCGTCTCTTGGGCCTACCAGATTGCTAAAGGCATGGAATTCTTGGGTTCTCGAAAGGTGGGCCTCTCCGATCACAACATTCCCAATCATCACCTTCAGCTAAAATGAAAAGAAAACTCGCAAGCTCGGTCTAGCAATCTATCATTTTCAAACGGCTTCAAGCGATCATGTGATTGAAGAAAGAGAAATCACCGTCTTAATGTCACTCACTGAGCTCCACATAGAGTTGATTTTTTTTCATAAGATCGAAATCTGAATATTGGAAAATATGTGAAGCTTAGGAGGGAGAAGGTGATAAGCTCAGGATAAGACCCCACAAAGCATCAAGTACAATTAAAACGTACTTTACTTACATTAAAAAACAGGTAAAATATAGTAAACATACGTTTGGTAACAGTTCTATTACAGTTGTACAAACGTCTTTACAGTGGAGGCACTATGTATTTGCCACATATAAAATTTACGTAAACACTACGGAATATTGACATTCACGTTTGCACTCCAAACAAGATGTTTACATTCATTTTAGGTAAAACTGATGTTAATTTCCCCCTAGAATTCCTGTGTATTTAACGAGCCAATCAGTACCTTTGAAAAGAATTGATACACTGTATCTCTCATTCCTTTCCACACTTTATGGTGGTTGGACGAGTACATGAATCCATAAATACTCATCCTCTCCAGCACTCAAGAGTACTAAAGTAACCTACTGTTTCCCCCTCCCGCACTGGAACCTCGGAAGGAAGAGTAGATGTTCAGAGATGTCTTCCATTTAGGATAAAGATTTAGTACTTCTAGGGGATACTACACTTCCCTAATCCCGTGCACTGTTGTAATAAAAAGCTTAACTTCAGCGTTTAATGAATCCCTGAGTTATATATAATAATAATAAATAATAATTTCATGTTTTCCATATATATATATATATTCATAGAATGAATAGTAAAAAGTAGAAGGATGGTAAGAAAACCTGATACTATATCAGAAAAGCCAGTACGTAATAGTATTTACGATGCAGGGAACAAGGGTTCCATACAGCGAGGAATCTTGGTACTGCAACTGCAGGATGGTCAGCTAAAGTATCATATGGATGGTGTGGTGCTGATTTTGTATGACCTTGATATAATGTCCTTCACGTCAGATGGAGTGACGTCTATTTCATGAAAAATACACATACAGTTCGGTGACGTAAATATAGGAACATAAATTTTACGTAAACGTGATGTCATTTTCATGGCAATCGCAAGAAATTGATATTGTTTGCAAAGAACTGACATCTTGTTTACGTAATCATGCTGCTTGGGACAATTCTTATCCAGTTTCTCATTTATTTCTGATTCTCAAAATGTGTTCCCAATGTGCCCCAACCCCCTCCCCACCCAGTGCCAAAAAATTCAAATTCATATTCAAAATTCAATTTGTTATCCTAACAATCCTATTTAAAATAGACATACCCAATGTCTATTAATACATATCAATATCATTTACAATTTATTAAATGCCATTTTGTTATTGTCGGAAAAGAACGTTTAACAAAATGTATAGAATCAGAAACCGACTAATATTCTTTGAGTTCTCATTGCTGTCACAGGTGGTCTATAGGAACCTGGCCACGAGAAGCATTCTACTTACAGGAGAAAAAATCGCGAAAATTTCCGACTTTGACCTTGCCAGAGACATCTATGAGAACATTCAGTACATCACGAAGGGGGATGTAAGTTCCACATTTCCCCACCACGGTTTGTTGCAATATCCATGCTTGGTCTACTTTCACTAATGGACGGAATCTGCACCTTCCAGGGTCCATTGCCGATGAAATGGATGGCCTTGGAGTCCCTCACACAGGACAAGGTTTATACGAGCAAATCAGATGTTTGGGCGTATGGAATTACACTTTGGGAAATGTTCAGCCTTGGGAAGACCCCGTATCCTGGAATAAACGGCGCAGAGCTCGTCCGGCTTCTCCAGACGGGGTACCGCATGGAGGCACCTCGATTCGCCGATCATCATTTGTGAGACACTGTTTATCTGTCGCGGTTTTTACCTTTGAACATGATGTCCATCGGCGGTTCATACCGACAATTTTTTCCGTGCTTCAACAGCTACGAAATAATGAGGAAGTGTTGGGATGAGGATCCAAGCAATCGTCCGACCTTCCACGCGTTGAGCGCATGTTTCGGCGAAATGCTTCCTGAGTCTGAGCGTCTGGTGAGAATCTCTTCCATGCCCTTTCGATCTATAATTTAAACCCAAATTTCAACAACTNGTTCATGTTAATTTTGCATGAAATGAATGTAATTTTTTGTCCATTTTATATCATTTGTATGCAAACCATTGTCAAGATAATGTCAACATGTTTGCAGAAATGTCACCTCCGTGATACATAAACGGTGCTATAAAATTTACGTAAACACTACGGAATATTGACATTCACGTTTGCACTCCAAACAAGATGTTTACATTCATTTTAGGTAAAACTGATGTTAATTTCCCCTTGGATTCCTGTGTATTTAACGAGCCAATCAGTACCTTTGAAAAGAATTGATACACTGTATCTCTCATTCCTTTCCATACTTTATGGTGGTTGGACGAGAACATGAGTCCATAAATACTCATCCTCACCAGCACTCAAGAGTACTAAAGTAACCTACTGTTTCCCCCTCCCGCACTGGAACCTCGGAAGGAAGAGTAGATGTTCAGAGATGTCTTCCATTTAGGATAAAGATTTAGTACTTCTAGGGCTGGGATACTACACTTCCCTAATCCCGTGCACTGTTGTAATAAAAAGCTTAACTTCAGCGTTTAATGAATCCCTGAGTTATATATAATAATAAAAAATAATATTTTCATATTTTCCATATATATATATATATATATATTCATAGAATGAATAGTAAAAAGTAGAAGGATGGTAAGAAAACCTGATACTATATCAGAAAAGCCAGTACGTAATAGTATTTACGATGCAGGGAACAAGGGTTCCATACAGCAATATATATATATATATTCATAGAATGAATAGTAAAAAGTAGAAGGATGGTAAGAAAACCTGATACTATATCAGAAAAGCCAGTACGTAATAGTATTTACGATGCAGGGAACAAGGGTTCCATACAGCGAGGAATCTTGGTACTGCAACTGCAGGATGGTCAGCTAAAGTATCATATGGATGGTGTGGTGCTAATTTTGTATGACCTTGATATAATGTCCTTCACGTCAGATGGAGTGACGTCTATTTCATGAAAAATACACATACAGTTCGGTGACGTAAATATAGGAACATAAATTTTACGTAAACGTGATGTCATTTTCATGGCAATCGCAAGAAATTGATATTGTTTGCAAAGAACTGACATCTTGTTTACGTAATCATGCTGCTTGGGACAATTCTTATCCAGTTTCTCATTTATTTCTGATCCTCAAAATGTGTTCCCAATGTGCCCCAACCCCCTCCCCACCCAGTGCCAAAAAATTCAAATTCATATTCAAAATTCAATTTGTTATCCTAACAATCCTATTTAAAATAGACATACCCAATGTCTATTAATACATATCAATATCATTTACAATTTATTAAATGCCATTTTGTTATTGTCGGAAAAGAACATTTAACAAAATGTATAGAATCAGAAACCGACTAATATTCTTTGAGTTCTCATTGCTGTCACAGGTGGTCTATAGGAACCTGGCCACGAGAAGCATTCTACTTACAGGAGAAAAAATCGCGAAAATTTCCGACTTTGACCTTGCCAGAGACATCTATAAGAACATTCAGTACATCACGAAGGGGGATGTGAGTTCCACATTTCCCCACCACGGTTTGTTGCAATATCCATGCTTGGTCCACTTTCACTAATGGACGGAATCTGCACCTTCCAGGGTCCATTGCCGATGAAATGGATGGCCTTGGAGTCCCTCACACAGGACAAGGTTTATACGAGCAAATCAGATGTTTGCCGCATACCTTAATGTGAAACCCTTTACAAGTCGGAACCCTTCTGGGGCATAGGACCTTATTTGCCGCGTCTCGAGCAGGCCGAAGAGGTCTGCCCCATGGCGTACCTCCGTGGAGCTAAGCGGCTACATCAATTGTGAGACACTGTTTATCTGTCGCGGTTTTTACCTTTGAACATGATGTCCATCGGCGGTTCATACCGACAATTTTTTCCGTGCTTCAACAGCTACGAAATAATGAGGAAGTGTTGGGATGAGGATCCAAGCAATCGTCCGACCTTCCACGCGTTGAGCGCATGTTTCGGCGAAATGCTTCCTGAGTCTGAGCGTCTGGTGAGAATCTCTACCATGCCCTTTCGATCTATAATTAAACCCAAATTTCAACAACTTTTCAGTCATGTCCTCTTACAGCACTACATGGAAAAGTACGAGTTGTTCGAGAAAAAGAACGCAGAGTACTTCCGGACCAAGACGGACTACTTAAAATTGATTGCAACTGAAACGGAAGATGGATATCAGATACCGTTGAGTGAAAAGTATGGAAAAGAAGATATTTCAACTGCACCCGAACATGTGAAATCGGAGAATTTTCCGCCAAAGGTGGACAATCTGCCGAAGATGGAAACCATTACACAAGAGGATCACCTCCAGGAAAGACAGGAACCACAAATGCAAGAAGAAAATTCCAGGGAAAATTCAAACCTCAAAAACGACCCAATCTCCGGAAACGAGGAAAATTGTCGCATTGGAACCGAGCAAACTGGGAATCCGGTAGTCGAAGATGACCGTAGCGTTGAATATGAAAAAGAAGTCGAGCAATGTGGAAACGCCACTACTTCGCACATCTGACGAGTGGAAACGGATCGCCCCAAAGTCAAGGAACGACGGTTAAAACAAACCAATGAGCATGCGATTGCATTCATCT